AGTAACTGATATGCTCTGGGATAGTCAATTACTGGAAGTGTATCCAGAGAGAGCAGTAAAATAGTGGTTTCAGCTTGTGTTCAACACAAAACAAGCTCAGTTATTTTAAATATATGAACAAGCTTCTCAGCTGCTCACTCTGTGCCAGCACTAGCTGACACCATTCCTTTTCGTCAAGATTGGGTTTTATTTAGGCATCAGTATCTCTTTGCTTACAGAAATATGGTTTGTTGACTCAGCTGACTCCATCATGGATAGTGTGTTATTACACAGTATCTGTCTAATAAGGATTTCAGGATGGAGGCCTATGCTAATGGATACTTTCTGTGAAAGTTTTTACTAGCTGTGGGTGATTAGGGCTCTCTCTTTTCCTTATATGGACAAAAATTGCCATTTTAAATGAAACATTCATGTCATAATATCAGAACTGTCAGACACGTGCAGAACCTTAAAGGGCAGAGAATTTACAATTAAAATTGATGTTGAAAGGGAAATAAAAGAAAAACCTTTGCTTTAAAAAAGGGTATAGGACTAGATAAAGAACAGTTTGGAAGCTTATTGTATGCTAACTAGGTCTGTGCGAATGACTGATTTTTTGTTTTGTCCAACAACCAAACGAGTCTGGGAAGAAAAAAAAAAAAGAAATGATTCAGTTTGGATCAATCTTCAATTAAGAGGTTTAATTTTTATCTTTCCACTGAGGAAAAAATCAGTTTTGTTCAACACAAAACAATCCCCTCGATCTAAACAAAACACCTAGTTTTGGGGTCTTGTAAGGAAAGGAACACCATGATTGGCTGTGCAAGGAGGCAGCCCCCTGAATAGCTCTATCTAGCTCAGGAGTGGGAATGCGTATCTAGAATACAGGCAATCCAAGTTCAAATCGCTCCTCTGGCTGTAGAGATTTGAATTTCTCTCTCTCACTTCTCCAGGTTTTTTTTTCTAGCAAACCTATTCAGAATTAGACCTGGTAGGAACACAAGAACTGCTATGATATCCAAGCAATGATTCAACTAGTCTAGTGTCCGTGTCAGGGACAGTGGCCCATAGCAGATGCTGCAGAGCATAGTGCAAAAACGAGCAAACAATTTCTGGAATGAATAACCGAGGAATAACAGCCCCACAGGGAAAACCCTATTAATTAGTGGCTGACAAGATAAATGAATCGTGATTTTTAGAACCTTTTCTTTTATCATTGCCAGTATAACTGTGGATATTCTCCATATCCATATAACCTCCTAATTGCATTTAGATCTTGGCCTCAATAATGCCTATAAGTAGTTTGTTCTTTGGGACGATTGTCTGTTTTAGAGAAAAGTATTCCTTTCTGTGAGCTTTCAGTTGTCCCTCAATTTCATTGTATGTCCACTTGTGCATGTTTAGTGAGAAAGAGTAAATGGAAGCAAGTCAGTTCTTTTCTCAGGGGTTTCAAAGTGGAGTACGTGTGTCCTCACGGGTACACAGAGTTTTGCACAGGGTATATACCTGAATTTTAATAATGGCAGTAGTTTTTGATTGCTTAGTGCATGGGGAGTAATGTTGTTGCCATACACGATGTTGGTGTTGACACTTCCTAAAGAACGAATGTGCAGAAAGTCAGATGTGGGGAATATGAGCCACAATATTTTGCAGGTAAAAGGAGTATGTAGCCAAAATAAGTTTAAAAACCACTGCTCTATGCCATACCCTACACCCTAGCAAATCAAAAACTCCCTCCTTTGACAACAAGATAGCTATGCCATTGCAAAACTATTGTAAAGGAGATCAGAATCAGACCCTCATACAGGAGTTTAGGTCAGTCTGATATTCTCTTTGGACTGCTTTGGACAGCAGTGCCTCAGACGACTCATCTGCATGGATAAGGACCAAATGCCTGATATGGGACTTACACAGCTATGGTTTTGCCCAGCAACAACAGGAAGAGAAAGAACACATATATGACTGGTTCCTATAAACTAAATTTAGATGATAAACATGACCTTGTCCTGTGCAGGAGAATACAAAAGCTTATTTTTGTTAAAGGATAGTTTTATTGGCAACATCAATCTTCAGATGTTACTAAAGTATTTATAGATTTTTGGGAAAAGAGTTTGAAAATATATTATAATTAAGCTTTTGAACTGAAATAATGTTAAGATAAATGTCCACGTAGAGGTTCCAACACCTTAAATGCTCACTTTGTGCTATTAAACAAGAACATTAAATGACTCAAATTTTGATTTAATATCTTCAAACAAGGCTTTAAAAACAGACCTAGGATACAGAAGTCAGCCATCAAGTTTTTATTTCAGAATTCTAAAGCCTAATGAGGTAAGAAAGCCACCAGGAGGATTGTAAAAAGAAAGGCAAAGGGTTGAAAGAGATGAATAACTTCTAAGAGTTGGCTGCAGATACCTATGGAATACAGCAAGTCTAACTCAACTTTTTATTCAGATTTTAACCAAATTTTTGTTAATAGAAATAAAAAATAAGACCTATTTCCTGCTCAGAAAGGGAAAATCTATGTTACCCATTTGCACTGATGTACTAGATCCATTTTAAAGAGACTGAGGTCTGGTTTACCTACTGGTTTTGCACCCACTGGTTTTGTACTGGGTAAAACTATTTTGTTAGAAGTGAAATGTTTTTACCTCTAGTAAAACAGATGCTATATATCAGTATAGCTCACTGCCATCTCCACAAAGAAATATGCTGTAAGAATAACAGCACTTGTTATATCAGTATGACTTCATCTATATTTATTAGGCAAGTTGTACCACTTTAACCCATTATAGTTATTGCTCTAGTTAAATCAGTACAACTTTTTCAGTTTAGACAAGCATAGCCTTAGCTGTGTTTGTACCATTTATTAATATAGACAAGCACTCGGGAAAGCAGTGAACAAACAGCAAATATAACCTCAGTGAAAGAGCATGGTGTGTGGTGTTTCACTCTAGCAATATAGCTGCAATCTCCTAACACAAGCAGAGGCCATGAAAATTTAGAAATTCACTGTGTGGAGAACAAAGGCAGGAAATGCATACACACAGCAAGGTGGAAACCCAGTTTTGGAGTTTTCTGTCTTATAGCAAACTTAGCTTATTTGCTTGCCTGCATTACACTGTGGCTTTTTATTACACAATCACACAACAATGCATACTGTTTTGTAAAGCAACAATGCATTAATAATGGTAAAAACTGCAGTTAGAACTTCATAGTTTAATAAGATGTATTCTACTGTTGCATAAGTATACTTTCAGGATAATTGGATTAATTGGGCAAAGTAAGCAATATGAATATAGGACCTGCAATGGGAAGTTAGCTTTTATGGATGACCAAAAATAAAGAGCCCAGCTGTGGGTTGCCAGTGCAACCAGAGAAGGTCAGCTGACCAGAAGGGGCGGGGCCTGGCTCCCTTATAAACCCAGGGAGCTAAGGCCAGAGGCAGTTCCCTGCCAGCAACCAAGGAGGAAGGAGCTCTCTCATAGAAGGGATAGAGTATTTCCCGGTAGGTTTGAGTATTGTTATGGCCGGGCGGCTTCTGTTTAAGTTATAGCCGATGGATTTGCATTTTGTGTTGCTGTTTATCACCAGTGGTTTGGGTGAGGCTATTAGGGGTTGGAGGAGGCCTCATAGGGGACTCACAGCGGAGTGTGAGAACCCCAGCGCCAGTGAGGGCGCAGCATTTGGGGTGCATAGACCCCAGCCCCAGAGCAGGGTGGCGTTACTGAGAAGGCCCAGTGCGGGCACGGTGAGCCCCGGAGAGGGGGCAGCATTACTGAGAAGGCCCAGAGAAGGGGCAGTGGCTGAGAAGTCCCAGTGTGGATGCAGAGGCCCCAGAGAGGGGGCAGCATTGTTGATAAGGCCCAGAGAAGACGGCACAGAGTGAGGTAGGGCCAGGGAGAGCCCTAGCGCTGGAGAGGGCGCGTATCAAAGGAAGGCCCAGAGAGGACAAAGAGGGGCCAGATTATGATAGGGCTGAGACATAATGGCTATTCCATCGGCAAGGTGTGGACTGCGGGGTAGGGAAGGAAACGGAGCCGCAGATAGTGCCCCGTGGCAGTGGGGCAGTACAAGGGCAGCCTCCCTCTAATTTAACATGAATTAATTAATTAACAGCAAGGTATGGCAGGAGAGAAGGTGGGTGGTTGCCCTAGGAACAGGTGTGTGGGCCAAGTTTAGCTCGGCCCAGAGCGGATACCTGTTACAATCAAGTTTTGACCTGCGTGTGTTTACTGGAAGGCTCCCTGGGATGCCTATACAAGTAAAATATGATGCCACAGTAGGCTAAGTCACAAATGGCACCATTTCCAAATATCAACCTAAAGGGAGATGTTGAATCTGTCATGGACTGCTTTTCTTCCAACTGATTCATGACAAAGAATTTTAAAGATCCTAAATGAAATATAGCCTCCCCTGTCTATTATAAAGATTAAAGATCAGGGTTCATTATCCCATTGGTCCTCATAAAGAGACCTTTGTGGGGGATGGAAACAGCAAACTGTCAGAGCCAGTATATAAGCAGCCAGACATGGGGGGGGCCAGTCACAGATGAAGGTTAGTACATTGGACAACTCTAACATCTAAGCCAGAGTTGGAACAGGGCAAGAACCAAAAGACTAGGAGACAAAGAGCCCAGGAGCAAACTAAGTCAGGAAACAGTAGATCCAAACCAGAGTGCAATCTACACTCAAGAAAAATCCTGAAGACTCTTCCTACTCCCCTCCTTGG